CAAAAACCTCTTCTCTTACAGATTAGTAAAAGAATAGCCAGGCAGTCTGTTTACAGTTACTATATATTGCTGTTGGTGCATCCTTTCAAGTTATTTCTCACTTATGGTGACCCTAAGATGGTGCCAGGACCATGAGGCAAGACAAGGATGATGGGAAGGAGGGATGCCTCCCAGCAGCGAAGTCTGAGCCCATGGTGGATGAGCAGCCTGGTATTACTTAGAGAGCTAGTGCTAAACAGGAGCCAGGCCCTTCAGAAGCTGCTGAGTGTGGGCAGAAAGGGTTGCTCCCTGCCCGGTTACAGCTCAGAGTAGACTCAATTCAGCTGCACAAGTCAAAGAGATTGGCCCAGAAGAAGAGTGGCCAGCTGTAGGATTCATGGCTGGAAGCAATCATCCTGTATGGAATGTTTCAGCCAGTAATCTCGACCCTTGTACTTTGGACTTTGTGTGTGCTCCACGTTCAGACATTTGGTGAGCCTCCTATTAGTGACCTTCAGAACGGACTTTTGGACAGTTCTTCGTGCCTTGGACTCTGCTTGGACTATTGCTGTTGTTGACCACGGGCTGTTTGACTACTCTTGCAAGGAATGGCTGCAGCTTTCTGACAGACAGCCATCCTCCAACTGTGGCCCTCCAGCTGTTTGGGCCTCTAACTTCCAGAAGCCCTAACCAACTTGTTCAATCGTCAGGGATTCTGGGAGTTGGAGGCCCAAACATCTTGGAGGGCCACAGTTTAAGAATGCCTGCCTTAGGACAAAATTATTTCAGGTGTTTCTTGGCAATATTTGTTCATAGGGAATTTGCTTTTGAGGCTGAGCGACTGGGACTTGCCCAAGGTCACCCAGTGTTTCCATGGCCGAATGGGCATTTGAACACTGCTTTCTAATATAGTCCAATTCTCAAACCACACCATCATAGTTGATCAATGTTAGTATGTAGTATGGGGCAAAGAAGGCGTCAGAATCATAGATCCATAAAATTAGAAGACCCTTCAAGGGCCACCTAGTCTACCACTAAAGCACCCCAAATAGAGTCTGAGATAGTCCATTCCAGTGTCTAATAGTACTTAACTGTTAGAAAGCTCTTTCTAATGCTTAGTTTGAATCTCCTTTGTTGAAATTGTAGTCACTTGGCTTGAATCCTATCCTCTGGAGTAGAAAAGAAAGGTTGCTTCCTCATCCACTGACAGCTTTTTAGATTTTTAAGCATGACTGTCATATCACCTCTCAATCTTTTCATATCCTGGTTAAACAATTCTCAGCTCCACATAGGACTTTATTTCCAAATCCTTTTTCCAAGGGTGGCCAGACTCATTTTCACTGATGGCAATATCAGCCTTCAAAGAGCCATTTGTAATTGTAAGACTGTATAAATTTAACTACCATATATACTCGAGTATAAGCCGACCCAAATATAAGCCAGTGCACTACAAAAAACTGGGAAAACGTGTTGACTCAAGTATAAGACAAGAGTTGGAAATGCAGCAGCTACTGGTAAATTTTAAAATAAAAATCGATATCTATAAAATTACATTAATTGAGGCACGTTACGGTAAATGTTCTTTATTTATTTACCACATTTATATACCGCTTTTCTCTTCCTAAGGGAACTCAAAGCAGTTTCCAACATTATAAAGGCAAAATTCAATGCCGTACATACATGTGAAAACCAAAAGATAAGAGCAAGACAGTATCATATAACTATAGATTAACCTATTAAAACATAAACATAAAATAACAATTAGACATCTATATAAATAAAAATGTAATGTTCGTTTGTGGGATTAACATAACTCAAAAACCACTGGGGGAATTGACACCAAAGTTGGACACAAGACACTTATCAGGCCAATGAGTGACCATCACTCATAAAAACACTGAAAAACACAGCAAAAGAGACTTTAAAAGCAAAATAACAACAACATTACAACGCATGTGCAAAGTCACATATATACACAAACACACATATACAGAAATATATAAACACACATATACACACACATGAAACACATATAGACAGAGTGGGCCACAGCAACGTGTGGCAGGGGATGACTAGTAAAGCATAAAAATTAAATGGGTTGTTGTAGGTTTTTCCGGGCTATATGGCCATGTTCTGGAGGCAATTTTTCTCCTGACATTTCGCCTGCATCTATGGCAAGCATCCTCAGAGGTAGTACGATACATACAATACAATATTTCGACAATACATAAAAATTAAACATTGATAATACAATAACATTTATATTAAAGCCTACCAATAAACAACACAATTTAAAAATCGTTATTAAAATGCCATCCAAAATCAAGTCTGTAATTGTTTATTGGTCCATTTCTTATTATCTTATTGCACTACCAGCTTTGCTGTCCAAAAGCTTGGGAACATAATCACATTTTTACTTTCTTCCTGATTGTCAGGAGGGAGGGTGCTGTTCTAATTTCACTTTTTGAATATTTACATAAAACTGTAATTTAAGATAAGACTGTCCCACTCTGATTCAACCATTATTCTAACCTTCTTCAATGTAAATGTGCTTAAGTATCCTTCCAATAATAATAAAGAAAAATAATAAATGTAATAATAATAAAGAAAAATAATAAATGTAGTAATAATAATAATAGAGTAAAATGATGTAAGTGTAATAATATCAATTACAGAATAAAATAATAAATAACCTTGAAACAAGTATAAGACGATGGAGGCTTTTTTCAGCCTAAAAAAGACTTAAACTCGAGTGTATATGGTATGTTGTCCTGGCATTGAAAGCCTTGCATGCCACATTAAATGATGTGGCAGGCTGGATCCGGCCCTTGGGCCTTGCATTTTGACATATGTGGTTTATCTTAACAAGAGGTTGTCACTATATTTCTTACCTAGGAAGGAAGAACATTGCCTTCCCTTTCGGTGGCCAGTCTGTTGCTCTGTTTTAGGAATGATGTATGACCAGCCCGGAGCCATGCCAAGTGAGACCAGTGTTTCAGAGAACAGTCAGTGGACACTAAAAAAAAAAATGTGAAGCAGAAATAGCACAATCAAGTTATCTCAGGACTTGTATAAAGAGGCAAACAAATAAATTAAAATTGATACTTGTTTCCAGTACTAGCATAACACACTAATTCATTTCATTTCACCTTGACCCTTTACCCTGTAATTTTATGAAAAATCTGGATTATGTGTGCCTGCAGTTTTGGATTGAGTGAGAGGCACAGATAGTATCCTTTCTGCAAAGAAACACTATTCAATTTTGTTTTGCTGGTGTGGTTTACTATTATTATTGGAAGCTGAGTTTGTGCACATAATCGCGTATCAGTGCAGGTTGAGTATCCCTTGTCTGAAATGAATACAACCAGAAGTGTTTTGAATATTTTTGAATATTTGCATTTATATCATAAGACATTTTGGGGATGAGACTCATGTCTGAACATGAAATCCATTGCTGCTTCAATATACTTTAGTTGCATTTCCTGAAGAAGGAGCCCCTGGTGGCGCAATGGGTTAAACCCTTGTGCTGGCAGGACTGCTGACCAAAAGGTTGGCGGTTCAAATCCAGGGAGCGGGTTGAGCTTCTGTTTGTCAGCTCCAGCTTCTCATGCGAGAAGCTTCCCACAGAATGGTGAAACATTTGGGTGTCCCCTGAGCATCATCCCTGCTGACAGCCAATTATCTCACACCAGAAGCGATTGCAGTTTCTCAAGTCACTCCTGACACACACACACAAAATAGCCTGAAGGTAATTTTATACACAATATTTGTAATAATTTTGTACACGAAACATAGTTTGTGTACATTGAATTGCCAGAAATCCAATGTGGCACTATCTTAGCTGTCTATGTTAGACAGTTTGGGAGTTTGGGATATATCAGATTTCCAGATAAGAAAATATATACCCTATAATAAGTGTCTTACATTCTCATAGAAAAGTCAGTAGTTTTGTTCACGTTTTAGAAAGTCAGAGGGTAAAAGAGTGATAGTAAAGTTGCTTAACCCAGGCTTTGGAAAAAGGAAATTTCAGTCCATAGGTTTTGCTCTTTAAACCTTCATTCTTAGTATAAGTTGTCAGAGGTTCAGAAAGGTCTCTTTGAAAGAAGTTGGGGGAAGAAATTGTTTACTTGATGTACATGCATTATTTAGGATAGAGGAAAATGAGACAATGTGAGGAGGAGAAAGGGATCCCACAGCAAGTTTTGAATCATAGACTGATAGCCTATGGAAAAGACCATCAAGGTTACTTAGTCCAACCCCTTTCTGCCATGCAGGAACACACAATCAAAACACTTTTGACAGACGGCAATCCAGACAGAGTTTAAAAACCTTCAGAGCAGCATTTCTCAACCAAGGGGTTGGGACCCCTGGGGCGGTCACAAGGGGTGGTGTCAGAGGGGTCGCCAAAGGGCATCAGAAAACACATTATTTTCTGGTCTTGGGGGTTCTGTGTGGGAAGTTTGGCTAAATTCTATCTTTGATAGGGTTCAGAATGGTCTTTGATTGTAGGTGAACTATAAATCCCAGCAACTACAACTCCCAAATGTCAAGATCTGTTTTCCCCAAACTCCACCAATATTCACATTTGGGCATATTGGCTATTGATGCCAAATGTGGTCCAGTGAATGAAAATACATCCTGCGTATCAGATATTTACATTACAATTTATAACAGGAGCAAGATTACAGTTATGAAGTAGCAATGAAAATCATTTTATGGTTGGGGGTCACCACAACCTGAGGAACTGTATTAAGGGGTCACAGCATTAGGAAGGTTGAGAAATACTGCTCCAGAGAAAGAAACTGTGCTCCCCTCTCCAACAACAGAATATTCCACTACTGAACTGGTTTTGCCATCACAATGTTATTTCTCATATTTAGATGGAATCTCTTCTCCCGTAATTTAAATCCATTGTTCCATGACTTAATCTGTAGACTAGAGAAAACAAGCTAGTCATTTTGATATCCTTTCGAATATTGAAACATGTCCATCATGTCCCTTCTCAACTTTCTCTTCTCCAGGTTAAGCACAGCTCCCTAAGCTGCTCCTCTTAGGACTTTGCGTCCAGACCTTTGGCCATTTTGGTTGCCCATCTTTGGACACATTCCAGCTTGTTAATGGTCTTCTGGAATTGTAAAGCCCAGAACTGGACACAGTATTATTCCAGGTGAGGCCTTACCAAAGCAGAATACAGTGGAACTATGACTTTCCTTGATCTTCTCGACACTACTCCCTTTGATGTAGCCTGGAATCACAATGGCTTTTTTAGCTGCTGCTTTACACTGTTGACTCATATTCAGCTTGTGGTCTACTATGTCCCCATCTACACTGCCATATAATCCAGTTTCTGAACACAGATTATCTGCTTTCAACTATTTGTATGGCAGTGTAGACTCATATGATCCCATTCTAAGCAGATAATTTGGATTCAGAAACTGCATTATATGGCAGTGAAGATCCAGTCTAAGGCCCCTTCCACACAGCTGAATAAAATCCCACATTATCTTCTTTGAACAGGGATATATGGCAGTGTGGACTCAGATAACCCTGTTCAAAGCAGATGTTGTGGGTTATTCTGCCTTGATATTCTGAGTTATATGGCTGTGTGGAAGGGCCCTAAGACTGATTGTTCCTTTTTACATGGTTTCTTTTCCAGCTGGGTGTCTGTCTTTATCTCTAAATTTCACTTATTAATTTTTTGTCCATGTATAATACTTTATATGTTAAACATTTCACCCTATTTAAATTCATTTTGTTAGTCTTGGTCCAGCTCGCTTATCTGTTAGTTATTTTGGATTCTGATCCTGTCTTCTGGGTATAAGCTATCTCTCCCAGCTTGGTGTTATCTGCAAATTTGACCCCAAATTGGGAGTAGATTCACTCATTTTGTAATTTTGGATTTTTGTATTTCCTATTGAAACAAATATGTGTACCAAGTCACATGTATGTGATTGCTTTTCTAACAATAACAATATGTAACATGATTTTTGTTCCTTAGTTATGAATGTCATTTTCTTATTGATTCTATCATAAAAACATGGGGAAAGTTTATTAAACTTTAAAAACTTTGGTTTTTGTGGGACATTGTGCAGCACAATTTGCAATAGTTTTTCAATGTATATTTCATTGTGTCTCAACCAATTCAGCATAGTTTATGGCAGCCACAAAAATGAGGTATAACATTTACTTTCAAAGTAAAGACCACACAATTAAACAGGAAATAATACTTTCAAACCAGGAACAGAAGATGTTTCAATTTTTGTTACATAGTGTAATTGTTCTACAAAGTGCAAGAATTGTTGGACAAGATCTGGAAAATGTAAACTAGACTAAAAACGCATGTCCTACCTTACTAGATAGGTTGTAGATTATATTATTATTATTATTATTATTATTATTATTTTATTTATACCCCGCAAAATCTCCCGAAGGACTCGGTGTGGCTTACAAAGGCCAAGGCCGCCGACAACAACAACATACAATACGCAATAAACTCATAAGCAAATAATAAATCATCCAGCAAACAATAAAACAATGACACCATGACGCAATTAAAACCAAAGGTAGATACGGTCCAGCAGGCCTCTTGAATTCTTTTTATTTTACAGGCTTGTTTTTTAAAGGCCTTTTAACAGTTTTAAAAAGTTCTAATATTTATTTTTTTAATATCTACAGTCTCTCTTTTTTTTACAGAATATGATTTTGTGTTATTGAAGGTTGTCATGGCCAGAATCTCTGGGTTGCTGTAAGTTTTCCGGGCTGTATGGTCATGTTCCAGAAGCATTCTCTCCTGATGTTTCGCCCACATCTAACAATCACCATGTCAGACTACACAGAGAAACCATTGAAACCCACAAGCATGTGGACAATTTCAACAGAAAGGAGGAAATCATGAAAATGAACAAAATCTGGCTACCAGTATTTAAAAAGCTCTAAAATCAGGACAATAAATAAAGAGCAGTACTCGGGGGAAAAAACAGTGAAATTCCAGACAGGAAACAATTAGGGCCAGCTAACCCCTCCCAACAAAGGATTCCCCCAGGCAGGACTCAGACAGTTTTTGAAGTTGTAAAGCCATTCAGTGCTAATTAAGGTGGCCAGTTGCAACATTTTACCTGCTTCAGACATGAGTTCTTTCTCCCACCCTGGGCATTAAACAGATAAATAAACCTCACTAGCCTAGTTTTCAACAGACCTCACAACCTCTGAGGATGCCTGCCATAGATGTGGGTGAAATGTCAGGAGAGAATGCTTCTGGAACATGGACATACAGCCACGTTCCACCGAATATGATTTTATTCTTTGCTGCTCAGTATGGCTGCTGATGTCATCTGTCTAGAGGTGATGGTTTTCATTTGTATTTTAATAGTTTATTATCCACTGGGTGACCTTGCAAGCAAATCAGGGTCAGGCCTGGATAATACTTGGACAGGAGACACACTTCCATTCAAAGGAAAGCAAACCTCTGAATCAGTCTTGCAGAAACAAAAATCCTCAACAATTTCAGAATAGTGTCTAGTCTGCCATAAGACAAGTGGTGTAATAATAAAGCTGCACCTACTTTTTTGCTATCAGATGACAGATCAATGAAGTTCATACAGAGTAATAAATGCATACATTCTTTAACACAGATGGAATATTTTTATCCACCAGTCAGATTTCATTGCAGAATTTTTACCCATAACTTGGACTTACAACATTGGCATTTTAATACATTGTCACTTACAAAGAGCATAAATAGTGTTGCTCTTTTTGTCACTTTTGTGTATGATTTACACAGCCCAACAAAAAAAGTTTTTTATCCTTTGTGTCTTGTTTTTTAAGTCTGTTTCTGGGCTTATTTGACACACTGATTCAGAAAATGGGGATATCATTGGACCTTTTTACCATGTGTTTTCCCTCTGTTTTATGCTAGCGGGTCATTTAGCTACCGCTTTTTTAATCCAGTAACTTCCGCATTTTAGGTGCTGTGTAGAAGGGCCCTCGGTGAAGGATCCAAGGCGGGTTACGGTGTAAGTAAAAACACAATGCAGTTAAAACGGTTAATGCAGGTTGAGTGTCTTTTATCTGAAACACTTGGTACCAGAAGTGTTTTGGATTTTGGATTCGCCATCCCCTGCCTGTATTTGCCCAATTCATTTATGTTCCATATACAGCTTATGTACATAGCTTGGAGATAACTTTTTGCGCAATGCTTTCAATAATTGTGTGCATAAAAGCAAAGTTTGTGTACATTGAACTATCAGAAAGCAAAGATACCACCCCCTTAGTAACTGATATGGACTATTTTTGAATTAGGAGTATTTAGGATATAGGATTTAGGATATAGGAGTATCCGAATTCCAGATATGGAATGCTCTATAGCAAGGATCCTCAAACTTTTTAAACAGAGAGCCAGGTCACAGTCCCTCAAACTGTTGGAGGGCTGGATTATAATTTGAAAAAAATAATGAATGAATTCCTATGCACACTGCACATAACTTATTCGTAGTGAAAAAAYACTTTAAAACAATACAATAATTAAAATGAAGAACAATTTTAACAAATATAAGCYTATTAGTATTTCAGTGGGAAGTGTGGGCCTGCTTTTGGCTGACGAGATAGGATTGTTGTTGTTGTGTGTTTTCAAGTCATTTCAKACTTAGGTTGATCCTGAGCGAGGGCCGGRTAAATGACCTTGGAGGGCTGTATCTGGCCCTCGGRCCGTAGTTTGAGGACCCCTGCTCTATAGTATAAACGTTTCTAAACCTATCTGATATATAGTCCTAGTAAAATGTCTAGAATAGTTTTAAATGCATTTCAAATTTAACAAAGCTAAACGCACTTCTTATTAAAGAACCTTCTGCCTTACTCATTTAAAAGCCGAAGACCTGTTTAAATAAAATTCTTATATTAAGCTAGCTGTACCCGGCCACGTGTTGCTGTGGCCCTCAGAAAACAGAGGAATTCCAGTCATGAAACAATCTGGGCTAGGGAACACCTCCCCACAAAGTTTTCCCACTGGCAGGAGGAAACCAGGCTTTTAAGCTGCAAGGTTTTTCAAAAGTAATAAAGATGGGCAATTGCAACATTCACAACTGGCTCAAGTAGAAAAGAGTTCTTTTTTTCCACCCTGGACCTTTCACATATCTTTAAAGAGAAGCCTCTCACAGGATGGTAAAACATCTGGGCGTCCCTTTGGGGAACATTCTTGGAGATGGCCTATTCTCTCACTTTGAAGTGACTTGTAGTTTCTCAAGGTTTGGGACAGTACATTTTTATTTATATAGAATGTCTGCAGGTATGTGTAGCTGTGTATATGTATGTGTGTTTATGTTTGTGAGTATATGTGTGTGTGTGTGCGTATGTTTGCGAGTATATGTGTGTTGGTGTCTGCAGGCATGTGAAGGAAGGAGGAAGGGAAGGAAGGTAAGAAAGGGAGGCAGGTAGGTCCAAAGAGAAGGGAGTGGCGGGTGGGGGAGAGAGCGTGGGGAGACCCCCAAATCAGGGGCTTGGGGAAGCCGAGGGTCTGCCTGCCCAGTCCACTGGAGCCTTCCATGCTCCCTGCAGGTTTTTTCCCCCTCGTGCAGGAGAGAGGTGGGGCCAGGGGAGCTGTTTCTGTGCATATGTTGTATTGTCTTTTAGTTTTGGGGGTTTTAAAGTCCTTTCCACTGTGTTTTTATGAGTGATGGTCACTTGTTGGTTTGATAGGTGTATTGTGTCCAAATTTCGTGTTAATTTGTCTAGTGGTTTTTGAGTTATGTGCGTCCCACAAACTAACATTACATTTATATATATATAGATGGCACATGTGTGAGTTAAACTAATTCTCTTTCCTGTTCCAGAAGTAAATGCATACGACTCCAAATCAGGTCCACAGAAGCTCAGTCTCTCCCCTCATCTGTTCTCCATATTTCATATCCTGCATCACTGTTGAAAGGTGTGGAAGAATGACTTCTTAGATCAGTGGTTCTCAACCTGTGGGTCCCCAGGTGTTTTGGTCTACAATTCCCAGAAATCCCAGCCAATTTAACAGCTGTTAGGATTTCTGGGAGGTGAAGGTCAAAACATCTGGGAACCCAGAGTTGAGAACCATTGCCTTAAAGAAAGGGAAAAACTGGTTTTCTTTCCACTCACTTCCTTTTTTGTCAACTTTTCACATAGGGGTTGAATTTAGTGGTATGCGAAGAACCTGGCCAAACAAATTGTACATACATTCCACTGATGTAGGCGGGTTTAGATTTAATCCAAAGGCTGGGACTAAGCATTTGAGCGATAGGAGAAATCTCTTGAAGGGAGTAGCTGTTCAACATTACAACCAACCATAGCACACTGAGAGATTCTGGGAACTGTAGTCCAAAGCAATAGCTGTCTCCTAGCTAAGATGGTTTCCTCATCTGTTGTTTCCTTCCTTCTCTCCACCAGGATTGTGTCCTTCTAAGCCATCTCTTATAAGCTGTTTGGAACAAGCGGAGGCTATGTGGGCCCCTGATCTACTAGAGTACCAGTACCAATACCCAGACAAGAAGATTCTGCCAAATACACATACAGGTGAGGCATTGTGATACAGTAGATCAGGTCTGGAAGAGAAGCTTCATGAGGAATGGCTCAGGGTCCTGGGTATGTTTAGTTTGGAGAAGCATGAAGAAGAGAAGGTTGAGAGGGGACTCGAAAAGACATGTTTAAATATTTGGAAGGATATCACATTGAGGAGGGGAAAAATTTGTTTCCTGCTGCTCTGGAATCTAAGGTCTGGAGAACAAGCCCTATGAGGAGTTTCTTGAAGTGCTGGGCATGTTTAGCCTACAGAAGAGAAGGCTGAGAGAAGACATGACAAGGGCCATGTATAAATATGTGAGGGGAAGTCATAGGGAGGAGGGAGCAAGGTTGTTTTCTGCTTCCCTGGAGACTAGGATGTGTAACAATGGCTTCAAACAACAGGAAAGGAGATTCCACCTGAACATGAGGAAGAACTTCCTAACTGTGAAAGCTGTTCAGCAGTGGAACTCTCTGCCCTGGACTGTGGTGGGGATTCTCCACTACTTCCCACCAATTGTCTCTTAACAGAATTTTTTTCATTTTAAATGACCATGTGACATAATTACTGACATTCAACCTTTCTGAACGCAGTCCACTATCTTGAAATGCCATTACCATAGTTCTTCAGCATCACAATGGTCTGTACTGGGCTAGACTGCGTTATACTGGTCTACACTGGGCCCATAACCCTTGTTGAGTGAGTGGGCTTATTAGCAAAAGACACTTCCTATTAACGTACAGCAGAGCAACTTAGCAGCAGTGTGATCCAGCACCAGTAGCCCAAATTGATAAAAAGAACAAAAAAAAACCACACAGACAAATGTTATCTCTTCCATAGGAGGCTTTTCTATGTGGTAAAATAATATGGTTACATTATTTACAAAAATAAGGTTTCCATAACACAAAGAAATACATAGTAGCTTTACATACAGCAGCCTTCACACTGGCTCTTTCTCACATGAGGTTTCTCTCACAGAGAGGTTTACCTCACACTCCTCAAGATGACACCAGCTTTGGACCACTGACTCTAACAGGCTTCGGCCTACTCACTCTCCTCAGGATGACACTAACTTTGGCCCACTGACTCTAATAGGCTCTGGCCTACTCACCCTCCTCAGGATGACACTAGCTTTGGCCCACTAACTCTAACAGGCTTCGGCCTACTCACTGTCCTCAGGATGACACTAGCTTTGGCCCACTAATTCTAACAGGCTTTGGCCTACTCACCCTCCTCAGGACGACACTAGATTTGGCCCACTGACTCTAACAGGCTCCGGCCTACTCACTCTCCTCAGGACGACATTAGCTGTGGCCCACTGATTAATAGGCTTTGGCCTACTCACTCTCCTCAGGACAACACTAGCTTTGGCCCACTAACTCTTAGCAGGCTTCGGCCTACTCGCTCTCCTCAGGACAACACTAGCTTTCGCCCACTAACTCTTACCAGGCTTCGGCCTGCTCGCTCTTCTCAGGACAACACTAGCTGTGGCCCACTAACTCTAACAGTCTTCAGCTACTAATTCTCCTCAGGATGACATTAGCTTTGGTGCACTGACTCTAACAGGCTTTGGTCTACTCATTCTTCTCAGGATGACACTAGCTTTGGCCTACTAATTCTAACAGGCTTTGGCCTACTCAGTCTCCTCAGGATGACACTAGCTTTGGCCCACTAACTCTTAACAGGCTTCAGCCTACTCACTCTCCTCAGGACGACACTAGCTTTGGCCCACTGACTCTAACAGGCTTCGGCCTACTCACTCTCCTCAGGACGACACTAGCTTTGGCCCACTAACTCTAACAGGCTTCGGACTATTCACTCTCCTACTAACTCTTTCAGTACTTGACTCATACTTTTGTAATCAAAAATACCCAGTTAATATTTAATATTTCTGAGAGTTATTTTTAATAAATCTCTGCCCTGGAGCATGGTGGAGGCTCCTTCTGTGGAGGCTTTTAAACAGGCTGGATGGTCATCTGTTGGGGGTGCTTTGAATGCGATTTTCCTGTTCCTGGGCAGGGGGTTGGATTGGATGGCCCGAGATGTCTCTTCCAGCTCTAGGATTTTATGATTCTAGGGACACATCCACACTAACCACTTAATGCAGGCTGAAGCCAGAGTTTGAGAATGCAGTGTTTAAATAATGCAGGGCATGAATTCCCACAGCAACCTCATCCCTAGCGGAAAAATTGACCCCCCTTGGTTTGTCACATCTGTATCTCCATTTTCCTATCTCATCCAGAGTTGCCTGTTTTTATCCCAGCCCACTTTGTTCAACTCTTTGTTTTTAATTTTTCATCTTACCTCATACCCTCTGTTTACCTCATTGTATTATTTTTCTTTTTTTGTTTGTATTTTATTTGAGTTATTATCTGCTGTATGTATTTTATCTTGTCGTATTTGTTGGGCTTGGCCTCATGTTAGACGCCCCGAGTCCCTGTGGGCAGGATATAAATAGTTTAATAATAATAATAATAATAATAATAATGGCAACACACATTAAAAGCTTTAAACTGGGATGAGCAAAGCCAGGGCATATTCCACAATATATAGTCTGTTTTGTGCATCGTTGCACTTAAATGTAAATCACCTTGCATGGTAGGAGCCCCCGATGGCACAGTGGGTTAAACCCCTGTGCCGGCAGGACTGAAGACCGACAGGTCGCAGGTTCGAATCCGGGAAGAGGCGGATAAGCTCCCTCTATCAGCTCCAGCTCCTCATGTGGGGACATGAGAGAAGCCTCCCACAAGGATAATAAAACATCAAATCATCCGGGCGTCCCCTGGACAATGTCCTTGCAGACGGCCAATTCTCTCACAACAGGAGCGACTTGCAGTTTCTCAGGTCGCTCCTGACACGACAAAAAAAACAAAACCTTGCATGGTGAAATCAATTCCAACAGAATGCAAATCACTATGCGGATGCCATACCTGTGCTGATGTGCTTCAGCAGAGATGGGACAGGCCTGGGCTGAAGCAAAACAGCTAGGGAATCAGCCAGTTGATCTTTCCAAACAGATAATGCAGTTGGGTTGCTGTGAGTTTTTCGGGCTGTATGGCCATGCTCCAAAAGCATTTTGTCCTTATGTTTCGGCGAAACATCAGGAGAGAATGCTTCTGGAACATGGCCATACAGCCCGAAAAACTCACAGCAACCCAGTGATTCTGGCCATGAAAGCCTTCGACCATACAGCAAATGCCATATTTTCACGGCCAACTTTCACTTTGTTCCACCTCATGCACAACTGAAGCAAACGTGTACACCGAGCTGCCAGCCATTCGCAGCCACAGCCACCCTGTGCCTCAAGCCATGATGTCCCCAGCGAACGCCAACAGAGCGAAAAGGGCCAGGGGGATGTCCTGGAGCCCGGCAGAGACGGAAGAACTCATTGCCATCTGGGGCGAGCCAATAGTGCAAGAGCAGCTCCATGAGTCGCATAGAAATTTAGATGTGTTCGAGAAAGTGGCGGAGAAGATGAGAGCTATGGGCCGCGACAGGACAGCCGAGGAGTGCAGGACCAAGACCAAATCGCTCAGGTCGAAGTACAGGGAGGCTTGTGAGCATATTGCCCGCAACGGAAGGGCCTCAATCTCCATGCCCTATTTCGATGAGCTAGACAACATTCTCCGAGGGGATGGCACTCTACAAGTTAAGCGTATGCCACAGACCACCGGCATCCAGAAAGTAACGGTCGGCCAGGCATCCACCAGCCAGCAGCAGGCAGATGGGACCATGGCAGAAGGCTCCCAGGAATTCTACCAGAACTCTCAAGGTACAGCAAAAATGCACAAAGATGGGTCAGTGGGCAGGATGGGAGGAAATGCCCTGGTGTTATGCCATCCCCATCCCCAAAGAACCTTTCCCTCCAAGGCATACAGGCAGGTAATAAGGTGTGCATATGTGGTGTTTCCCATACCACAGGGGACATGCTCGATGCCGTCGACTCAAAAGACAACATCGTCCTCCTCAATCCTATGGAAGACATTGCAGACACAGCCTCGGCATGTGGGGAAGCCTCCTCAGTGTACTCAAAGGCAAGCACCCACCCTCCTCCCTCCCCTGTGGCAAGATCCGCTTCGCCCGCGAGTGAGGAGAGCCACGGAGAGCAGGCTGCCGAGGGTCCCGAGAGCAATCTGTTGTGGACGTCAGCGGCAAGGGAGCAAGGTAGGATCCTCAATCCATGAAAACTAACACACACACACACACGCACGCACTATCAAAAACTATCTTAAGAGATTAGAGAGATGATTGGCCAAAACTTACAGAATGAAGTTCTAACAGGGACGAATGCAAGACACTCCACTGAAATGCAAAGATACAGAATGAGGGACACTTGGCCTGATAGCGGTACGTTTGGACAGGAAGTTAAACATGAGTCAACAATATGATGCAATGGCTAAAAAATCCAATGGGATATTAGCCTGCATAAATAGGAGTATAGTGCCTAAATCCAGGGAAGCCATGCTACCTCTCTATTCTGCTTTGGTCAGACCACACCTGGAATCACACTGTGTCCAGTTGACAAGCTGGAATGTGTCCAGGGGAGGGAGACTACAATGATCGAGGGGCTGGAGAACAAGCCCTATGAGGAGTGGCTTAAAAAGCTTGGCATGTTTAGCCTGCAGAAGAGAAGGCTGATGAGGGCCATGGATCAAGATATGGGGGAAGTCACAGGGAGGAGAAAGCAGACTTGTTTTCTGCTGCCCTGGAGACTAGGACACAATGGAACAATGGCTTCAAACGACAGGAAAAGAGATTCCACCTGAACATGAGGAAGAACTTCCCCACTGTGAGAGAGGTTCAGCATTGGAACTCTCTGCCTCGGAGTGTGGTGGAGGCTCCTTCTTTGGAGGCTCTTAAGCAGAGGCTGGATGGCCATCTGTTGGGAGTGCTTTCAATGTGATTTTTCTGTTTTTTGGCAGGGGGTTGGACTGGATGGCCCACGAGGTCTCTTCCAAATCTGTGATTCTATAGAACCTATAGGATCATGGAGTTGGAAACGACCTATGATTCTATGTATACAACACCTGGAATGCTGTGCCACCCACATCAGTTATTCTTAGAATTATAGAATCAAAGAGTTGGAAGAGCTACTAGATCACTGTAGCTTATGGCAACAGTGATCTAGGCACGCGGGAAAACAAAATGGCGATATTCACAGCAAATGAGAGCAGAGGAGTGATAACATTCTTGTTTCTGCAAGGAAAATCCGCGAAGGATATTATAGAATCAAAGAGTTGGAAGAGACCTCATGGGCCATCCAGTCCAACCCCCTGCCAAGAAGCAGGAATATTGCATTCAAATCACCCCTAACAGATGGCCATCCAGCCTCTGTTTAAAAGCGTCCAAAGAAGGAGCCTCCACCACATTTCGGGGCAGAGAGTTCCACTGCTGAATGGCTCTCACAGTCAGGAAGTTCTTCCTCATGTTCAGATGGAATCTCCTTTCTTGTAGTTTGAAGCCATTGTTCCGCGTCCTAGTCTCCAGGGAAGCAGAAAACAAGCTTGCTCCCTCTTCCCTGTGGCTTCCTCTCACATATTTATACATGGCTATCATATCTCCTTTCAGCCTCCTCTTCTTCAGGCTAAACATGCCCAGCTCCTTAAGCCGCTCCTCATAGGGCTTGTTCTCCAGACCCTTGATCATTTTAGTCGCCCTCCTCTGGACACATTCCAGCTTGTCAATAACTCTCTTGAATTGTGGTACTTGCATCCCCTCAGCTGATAGGAGCTACTCCTATTAGAGACACAGATAGGTGGCAGCCTCACCACCGGTCAGAAGCTGTCCCACATCCTCTTGTGACCATCCCACAAACCATGCATCTTTCCCATTGACTCCATACCCAAGACCCATAGCCACCGAGCAGCATGAGCGTGAGCAGGAACTGCATCACCCATGTGTTTCTCCTCTTCTAGGGGCCCCTGTAGCCAATCGGATGGCTATGCTTCCCCCATCGGTCAGGCTGGGCGAGCACCGCAGGAGGAGAGACAGGAGAACCGTGATTGCCGCCACATCCTCTGCAACTGACCGCATCCTTCAGCACTCCGTCGCACAAATGAAGGCGCTCATGGAGCATCTGGAGAGGGAGAGGATACAGCAGCAGGAATACCTGGACAGGGAGAGCGTGCGCCAGCAGGAGCTCCGAGACAGGGAGAGCGCCCGCCAGCAGGAATTTCAAGAGTGGGATGTGGAGTTCCGTCAGAGGCAGTGGGAGCGGGAATGCAGGGATCGGGACCGCCTCAACGAAAACATTGAGGCACAGACAGTGCTGCTGGCCAGGCTGGTGGACATCCTGGAACAGAACAAAGGCTGTGTCTGTGGAGGGGGGAGGGAAGTGGCCCATGGCCAGGCATCCACATATATCCCCGTGCCCCAGGGACTGGTTCCTGCCATGGAGGTCGACCCCCAGGAGATCCACTACCAAGTTGCAGCCACTCCACCACCCACCCGTTCCCAGGTGGAGCCATCAGAAAACTCCTCTCCTGCCGAGCCACCGAGTCTCAAACGCCCAGGGAGACCACTCAGATCCCAAACGCGCCATAGCAAGTTCTCATCATGAGTAGGCAGGGTGCCAAATAAGGGACCTCCATTTAGTTCCAGAGCAGTACTTCGGAACTTCTCCCACTTCTAGCTAAAGTACCGCGTTACAGCTCCTATCCTCCAGCTAATCTAATGCAACAAAAGACCCGACACAACTGTATGTTTTAAAATGACTATGAATAGTATAAAACAGCAAACGTGAAGGAGCAAGGGGGAACGCATACAGGGGAAGGCACGCATCAGGTAGAGGGGACCGTACACTGATCCATGGGCTGTGCAATGGAGGCACTCAAGCACTGCAGCTGCTCCTCCTCAGCTCCCATACTCTGCTCAAGTCGAGGGACTGAAAGGCAAGAAGACATCAGAAGAGGGTGTTGTGTGTTTTGTGGCTTTAAGGCCGTGTTCTAGCAGCATTTTCTCTAACATTTTGCTGGCATCTGGCTGGCATCTTCAGAAGGATCTGGAGGATGTTACTACTTTGCAGGAACTATACAACCCGTGGCATCATGGTGTCCACGCCAAGGACTTCTATGGTAACCCAACACGGGTTCAAATCCCACTCAGATACATTCCCATGCATCCTTCTGGCTGGCATCTTCAGAAGGGTCTGGAGGATGTTACTACTTTGCAGGAACTATACAACCTGTGGCATCATAGTGTTGACACCAAGCACTCCCATGGTTGCCCATGCTCCAGATACATTCCCACGCACCCTTCTGGCTGGCATCTTCAGAAGGATCTGGAGGATACCATTCTGCAAGATCTATACAACCCATGGCATCATGGTGCCCACACCGAGCACTCCCATCGTTGCCCAGCATGGGCCCAAATCCCACCCATGCTCCAGATACGTTCCCACAAACCCTTTGTGATGTGCAATGGGACTCGCTCAGTGCCCTCTCTGGGTCTTGGTAGGCAATGAAACGGGCATGAGGGATTGTGTGACTCCCCTTTCTTCCACTGGCTGCTAAAACAAGGGGTTTTTTTATTTTTAATTCTTCCAGAGTTCTTGCTTTGTTTATCCCGGTCCACACTCAGTGTTTTCTTGCACAGCGGAACATCCTTGCTGTTTGTTTGATTTTACCAGATTTCTTACACCAAAATGGACTCTCATACAGTTTGCATAGTCATTGTTAATCTGCTGGTGCAGACATGCTTTTCCCCTCTTTGGTTTTGTGTGATTTTTATTTGTTTGTTTTTCCACAGAAGACAAATTTTATTTGCTTCCCTGGTTCACCACCTGCTTATGCAAATCGACTTGTTTTTCTCATTCCAATTCTGTTGATTTTGTTGTTTTTATTGTTTTTCTTCTTCTTGAGCATTCTGTTATATTATGTTTTCCTTTCCCTTGTTCTCTTTGTGTGATTTGTTTTACGATTCCTAAGATTTTTCTTTGATTCCATTGTTATATCCTTAAGGTCCTCCTTAATTCCGATTTCTGTTTGAATTGACTCTTTCTGAAATTCCAATGACATTTGCAAAATCTACAGTGTTGACTTCATTTGGTGCTAATCGTAAATAATAATACAAGATGAGAACAAAATGCTGTGCGGAGTTAATTGACAATCCCACCCTCAATCAGCAAGGAACATAATTTATTCACTTGTTAAAATAGACTTAGTTCTTGTCTCTGTTTGGAATGTGGACTGCTCTTCTCCTCCTCTTTAGTTTTACGTTGCAGTCTTTACAGCTCTGAAACATTACTCTTTTCTTAGCTTTGGGATTATGGAGAGCTGTCATAGAATTATTAATAAAGTGTTTGTATGATTGTGGCTTAGTCTTTCCTTCCAGAGCTAGACACAAATTGAAGGATGGCCTCACTAAAAAAGGCGGGATGGTTTTTAGCTAATCTTCTAGTTGATTTAGATATTTGCCTTTACATAAGTTGTGGTGGTTCCCAAACTCTACTCTTCTTTTACTTTGATGTATCACGCAAATAAAGGGTATTTTTCATAGAGTTTATTTAGCTTGGAAGCTGAGGCAAATATTGCAGAGAAGCTAAGATGGCTGAATGCGTTGGTCATGGCTGGAATCATTGGGTTGCTGTGAGTTTTCTATGCTGTAACCCCTGTCCAGAAGCATTCTCTCCTGACATTTCACCCACATCTATGGCAGGCATCCTCAGAGGTTATGAGGCCTGTTGGAAAATAGGCAAGTGGGGTTTATATATCTGTGGAATGTCCCGTGTGGGAGAAAGAGCTCTTGTCTGTTTGAGGCAAGTGTAAATGCTGCAATTAATCACCTTCATTAGCATCGAATAGCCTTGCATTTTCAATGCTTGGCTGCTTCCTGCCTGGGAAATACTGTCACAGAAATGCTGGACCACTCTAACAACTGTCATGTCAGACTACACAGAGAAGCCATTAAAATCCACAAGCATGTTTAAGGATTCTCTTCCCAGCCATTGAGGAAAGGTTGTAAAGAAGGTTGTAGACTGAGAAACTGTTTCTGAATTACCATATTTGCTCAAGTCTAATGTGTTATCGAACCAATGTGCACACCTCAATTTTCAAAACCCAGAAATAAAAAAGTATTTGCTGCTGAATGTAGTACAGAGTGGTGAAAAGTGCATTCTTTGCAATTTGGCCAAAAAAGGTGCGCATTACAGTTGCTGTGTGCTTAAAATCCCTTCTTTAGAAACGAAATTGTTCGAGCACGAAAGCTTCCAGCAATGGAAAAGAAAACCTTGGGATGCATCTATGAAATAGAAAGAATTTTAATTGCTTTGGTCCAATGCTAAAGAGTCATGCGCTGTACTTTTACAAGGTCCTGAGCTTTCTCTGCCAAAGAATGCTGATGTTTACCGAACTCCAAATTCCAGGATTGGTATAGCATTAAGCCAATGGCAATTAATTTAGAGCTGAGGTCCCCCAAATGGGAGCTCCAGGTATTCCCTTTTGCTTTGGCTCAGCACTAAGGTTACCATATTACCGAATCCAATTTTGGCAATGTAATTAAGCCAAAAAAGGTGACCATTCGATTAGATCTGTGGTTCTCAACCTTTGGGTCCCCAGATGTTTTGGCCTTCAACTCCCAGAAATCCTAACAGCTGGTAATCTGGCTGGGATTTCTGGGAGTTGTAGGCCAAAACACCTGGGGACCTACAGGTTGAGAACAACTGCTCTACACTGTGGATGTTCTTGGAAGTCTTTCTGGTCCCTTGTCAGGCAATCTAAGCACTACACAAGACTGATCCCAGCTATTTCAGGAGCAGAATTCAAAACGATCTTAACAGATTAGAGAGATGATAGGCCAAAACTAACAAAATGAAGTTCGACAGGGACAAATGCAAGATACTCCACTTAGGCAGAAACAATGAAATGTAAAGATACAGAATGGGGGACGATGCCTGGCTTGAGAGCAGTACGTGTGAAAAAGATCTTGGAGTCCTTGTGGGGAGGAAGGTTAACATGAGCCAACAATGTCATGCGGTGGCAAAAAATGCCAATGAGATTTCAACCTGCATAAATAGAAATCTAGTGTCTAGGTCAGCAGTTCTCAACCTGGGGTCCCCAGATGTTTTTGGCCTTCAACCCAGATGTTTTTGGCCTTCAACCCAGATGTTTTTGGCCTAACAGCTGGTAAACTGGGATTTCTGGGAGTTATAGGCCAAAAACATCTGGGGACCCACAGGTTGAGAACCACTGGTCTAGATCCAGGGAAGGCATGCTACCTCTCTGTTCCGCCTTGGTCAGAACACCTGGAATAATGTTTCCAATTCTGGGTACTGCAATTGAAGGGAGATGTTGACAAGCTGGAATGTGTCCAGAGGAGGGCGGCTAAAATGATCAAGGGTCTGGAAAACAAGCCTTATGAGGAGCAGCTTAAAGACCTGGGCATGTTTAACCTGTAGAAGAGAAGGCTGAGAGGAGACATCTTGAGGGCCATGTATCAAGATGTGAGGGAAAGTCATGGGGAGGAGGGAGCAAGCTTGTTTTCTGCTGCCCTGGAGACTAGGACGTGGAACAATGGCTTCAAGCTACAGGAAAGGAGATTCCACCTGAACATTAGGAAGAACTACCCGACTGGGAGAGCTGTTCAGCAATGGAACTCTCTGCCCTGGAGTATGGTGGAGGTTCCTTATTTGGAGGCTTTTAATTAGAGGCTGGATGGCCATCTGTTGGGGGTGCTTTGAATGCGATTTTCCTGCTTCTTGACAGGGTTGGACTAGATAACCCATGAGGTCTCTTCCAACTCTAGGATTCTATGATTCTATATTGCTTTTTGGGGGAAAGTAGATCACAATGTTCATTTTGGATGTTCTATTTTGTTTCAACAGTAGCTGTGAAACTGAATAAAGAGAATGGAGAAGAACTGCTTGAAAGGGAAAGGGCTGCCTCATGCAAGCCAAAAGCGAAACGATTTCAGAGTGCCCAAGAAAGCATTTCCAGTGATGGGGAAAATGGTGAAAGCTCCAAGGCTTACCCGAAAACACGGAGTCAGCAAAGAAAGCTTCGTGAGAAGCAAGTGGCCAAAGCCGTTTCTAGTGGGGAAAACAAAAACCAAAAGCAATCTTGTGACAAAAAGAATCCAGAGAGAAACTCTACTTCTGAACCTACTCCTAAAACCAACCAAGTAAAAAAATCCAAGAAATGCTCATTCTGCGGCAAGACCTTCTGTAATAACACGTACCTTGCAATACATGAGCGAACCCACACCGGAGAAAAGCCGTATGAGTGTTTAGATTGTGGGAGAGGTTTCACTTCACCATCGCCTTTTCATATGCACCAGAGAACCCACACCGGAGAGAAGCCCTTCAAATGTTTAGAATGCGGGAAGTGTTTTATGCAGAGCCGACACCTTCGAGAACACGTGACAATCCACACGGGTGAGAAACGATATGCGTGTTCCTATTGCGGCAAAAAGTTCAGAAGCAAAGCACATGCTACTAGGCATAAAAAAATCCATAAGGACGAGCGACCATTTAAATGCACGGCATGTGGGAAAGCATTCAGACACAAAAACCATCTTTCTGTCCATGAGATAATCCATACTGGAGAGAAACCCTACAAGTGCTTCAATTGTGGGAAGAGCTTCAATTTCGTCGGAAATTTCCACAGGCACGAGAAAATTCACAGAGGAGAGAAACCGCATAAATGTAGTGATTGTGAGGTAAGCTGTAGGAATAGGTCAGACCTGGAAAAACACCGAAGGATCCACACCGGGGAGAAACCTTTTCAGTGTACCGTCTGCGGGAAAAACTTCCGTTGCCAGTCCAGCCTTGCCAAACATAAGACAACTCACCAGGCAGAAAGACCTTATGAATGTCCTGAATGTGGCAAACGCTTAAGTCAGAAAATTTGCCTCGACAAACATATGAAAACGCATAAACATAAGTGTGCGGAGTGTGGGAAAAGCTTCAGTCGAAGCTCAGCTCTTCAGTTCCATCAGGCAAAACACACCGGCGAGAAACATTTTCAGTGCGTGCATTGTTGGAAAAGTTTTGACCGTAGGTCAGCGTTCATGAATCACCAAAGGATTCACACGGGTGAAAGACCGTACGTTTGTTTCGAGTGCGGGAAAGGTTTCATAGTGAAATCCAAACTGATTCGGCATGAGAAAATCCACACAGGGGAGAAACCGTATGAATGCCCCAACTGCGAGAAAAGATTTCGTGAAAGTGAGAATCTTACTCAACACATGAGACTTCATGCTCAAAAGAAATCAAACAAATCCTCACACTGAGAGTTAAGATTCACCTATAGATCACATCTTCTTCAACACAAGACATCTCATCTGGGAGAAACAGCCTAAGATAGAGAAGACTGTATTGTTGAAGGCTTTCAGGACCGGACTCACTGGGTTGTTGTGAGTTTTCCGGGCTGTGTGGCCATGTTCCAGAAGCATTATCTCCTGATGTTTCACCTGCATCTATGGCAGGCATCCTCAGAGGTTGTGAGGTCTGCTGAAAAACTAGGAAAGGGGTTTATATATCTGTGGAATAATGTCCAGGGTGGGAATAGAATCATAGAATCAAAGAGTTGGAAGAGACCTCATGGGCCATCCAGTCCAACCCCCTGCCAAGAAGCAGGAATATTGCATTCAAATCACCCCTGACAGATGGCCATCCAGCCTCTGTTTAAAAGCTTCCAAAGAAGGAGCCTCCACCACACTCCGGGGCAGAGAGTTCCACTGCTGAACGGCTCTAACAGTCAGGAAGTTCTTCCTCATGTTCAGATGGAATCTCCTTTCTTGTAGTTTGAAGCCATTGTTCTGCGTCCTAGTCTCCAGGGAAGCAGAAAATAGCTTGTCAATATCTCTCTTGAATTGTGTGCCCAGAATTGGACACAATATTCCAGGTGTGGTCTAACCAAGCAGAATAGAGGGGTAGCATGACTTCCCTAGATCTAGACACTATGCTCCTATTGATGCAGGCCAAAATCCCATTGGCTTTTTTTGCTGCCACATCACATTGTTGGCTCATGTTTAACTTGTTGTCCATGAGGACTCCAAGATTTTTTTCACATGTACTGCACTCGAGCCAGGCCTCACTCCCCATTCTGTAGCTTTGTCTCTGCTTGAGGCAGGTGTGAATGCTGCAATTTGCCACCTTGATTAACACTGAATGGCTTTGCAGTTTCAAGGTCTAACTGCTTACTGCCTGGGGGAATCCTTTGTTGGGAGGTGGTTAGTTGACCCTGATGGTTTCTTGCCTGGAATTCCCCGTCTTTGAGTGTTGTTCTGCAAGGCTATTGTTAATCAATCAATGAATGATTTATTACGATCTATTACCAGCACACTATAGAATGGGGCACAGGTACCCAAGTAGGTC